TGTTAGCATTTATGTACAAAACCATTGATTACTGCACATCCGTAATTAATATTTATATGGACTCCTCTCCAGTGGCGTTATGTAATGGTGCCTACCGTATTCTAACTCAACAGATGGCGCTAGTGAGAACCTCTCGCTATTTGTCCAATAGGTCACTCCGGAGCAGGTCTCTTCAGAGGGCCCGGCAGGTGCTGAGGGTGGCCACCGGGGTCATTTTAGTGAGGTATAAATCCCACACTCCCTAGTCTTTCTCCCCGCTAGGGCTAGGCGCCTTTTATAGGTTTCCCTCCGTCATAAAAAAAGGGCATTCACTATAGTTGACATAGGATAGGTGTGTGTGAGCTCATCAGCTAGTGTCCCGGGCCGGGTACACTTTCAGACTCCGTGCTACTACGAAAAATTAAAAAAAAAAACAAAAAACGTTCGAAGTGTGCCCGGCCCGAGAATCGAACCCGAGACCCCTCGCCCAGCAGTCGCATTTGCGACCACTCGGCCAACGAGGCAGTCTAGTAAGATCGATTATTAATTTCGGCCTTTTGCGTCATCCACGAGAGGAGTAGAGGTATTGACTCCACTGTCACCACTGTTTATCAAACTGACTAACAAAAGTCGTGACGATATTCCTATCCTATGATCTAAGATGCTATATCCAGCAGAAAATAACTAAAGTTGGAATACTAACGCTACTCAATTTTAAGTCGCGCTCAACTATAGTTCTGTCACTACAAATTCTTTGTAAAATTTGACTGCACGGTTGGTGCGGTGGCTGGGCAACCGGCTGCCGTGCAACGTGTCGCGGGTTCGATTCCCGCACGGAACAACACTTTGTGTGATCCACAAATTGTTGTTTCGGGTCTGGGTGTCATTGTGTATGTGAACTTGTATGTTTGTAAACGCACCCACGACACAGGAGAAAATCCTAGTGTGGGGCAACGTTTTTAAAAAAAAAAAAAAAATGACAGAGATGGCACGATATTTAAGCACGACTTAAAATTGAGTAACGTTTCATTATTCAGGCAGGCATATGATTATTAGATTTAACGATGTTACACAACATTTAATTTACAAACCATCGAACCACAATCACAATTTTATAACATTTCAACAGACGGACGCCATTACATTACTAAATAACGCATAAAACTCATAAATAGAACGCATTGCGTTCTATTTTCAAATTAAATTCGGCATTACAAATCGGAATTTTGAATTTCGAACACAATGCCGCATTCATTGATCGCTCGTCGTAGTGAGCGGACGTGTGTAATGTTTATGTCGTGTAATTAAATTGAAATGCAGCTGTGAGAGAGTTAATTACTGTTAATGGATGTAATATATTTTATCATTATGTCGTAATAGTGCGCGGACGATTGTGTTGATGCTAATTGATGTATTATTTGTTATTGTTTATTGTATTGATAGTGACATTATGTACGGAACAAGAGATTAAATAATATTAAGGCAACAATAACAAAACTTTTTAATTTATAGACGAAAGGGCATTGACTAAAATTGGTGCCTTTCTTTTTTCTGGCGGCAGTCGATGGTTTATGGAAAATATTATCTAGAATGTCATTACAAACGAAATTGTCTATGGGCTCATATATGGAAATCTCAGTCTGGACTGAGTTTTGAGCGTTGAAAGGAGCTGGAATCAAACATTTTACTTTCGTTTTTTTATTCAAATTATTCATATTTTTGTCACAATTCCTAAATTCAAATTGCGCGCCTCTGTACGCCGGGCACAGAAGCACCAAATCACACCACAATATATCCATATTGCCAGTCGCTAATTTTAATTAGCTATTTTCTCTCAGTCAATAACTTATGGGATGTTTCTAGGAGTTGTGTCATAAAGCTTCATGAGCGTCAGCTGTGGTACCAGTGGTGGGTTGAGTAGTGGTAGCCGTCCAAACATCTAATAAAGTATATATTTATTTGCCATTGACTCCTGGTGGGACACTCATCTACTTAATAGTTAGCATAATCTTTTGAAGAAAGAAAACCGTCGATTTTAAAGAGATCAGCGCTATTCGATTCGCTACCGACGCCGCAGCTGACAAACATAGCATTTCATGATAGGGCTCAGTAAAGTATTTTGCGGGTTTTTGACTGAGAGGAAATCATGAAAATCTGTCGTAGGCCATAAACCGTATACATATAAATTGAACACGCTAGCCAATCAAGCGAAATGTTTCTTTTTATTCAGCAGTGGTCAGTTAATGGTTCACTCTGTTCTGATTCAGCGGCCTTATAACAAAAAAAAAAAACAAAAAAAATAAGTAAAAAAGTCCACAATAAGCTTTATTATATTCCTTGAAATCGTTTATAAACATTTATTACAAAATATTTCTGACAAGTAAATGAAGAAATATGCGTTGTGTACGGTCACCATCAACAAAATCACAGGGATATTATAGCACTATTTTCACATCTTTGAACTGATTTAACTCGATTTGGACTGTGTTTTTGATATAAGGCCCCATATATTTTTTTGTTTGTAATGTTATTCTGCATCAGTTTTTCCACATTCGATCAACTGCCGCGAAAAAATAAAAAGGCACCACGCTCCATACAAATTTGGTCATTGTCATTTAGGTAGTAGGTATTTGGCTTTTTTTAAGGGAGGAATATCATCGACATCGGGTACAAATCCAGACTAAGACCCCGGAAATCGAACCCCCCTCGCCCGGCAATCGCACTTGGCCAAAAAAAAACACTCAATTAAAAAAAAACTCCGCTCATTTCCCACAACACTTCACTGAACAAAACACTACACCAGTCAGACATTAGGATTCAAAAACATTGCTCTAATTGCGTCACACCACTTCAGCAAACCGAGGGTAGTCAAAACCACACAAAGGCACATACAATAAATTTACGACTTAATCACAAAGGGTTAAGGTTCAAAATCCTATGAACATATACGTATAGGACACGGTATATCAACGTGCTACAACTTGCTATAAAATTAACGACTTTATCACCAAGCAATAAGGTTAAAATTTCTTTAAACAGATTGATATAGGTTGACATGCAACCAATGTTCGTTGCACTGTTGTTTTTTCAAGCGTCGCACTCTGAACTATTGACATCAAACTCTGTCAAAACGATTTTCGTCTATATCACATAAGAAATAAGGTTCAAAGTCCTACTGGCAGGTTTTGGTATGAATTGACTTTGACTTGATGGTGTCTGAACAACCAATTTCTCGTTCGTTGCACTAATATTAATATTTTTCCTACCCTCGCATTTTGAGCTTTACCAAAACTATTAACAGCCTTATTACAAAGGGGTAAGATTGAAAATCCCATTAACAGATTGGTATAGGTTCAAGACGAATCAACCTCTTGCACTAACATTATTCCTAGTACTGCCGTCACTATTTCAGTCATTAACTGTCAAAACGAGTTTCGATTTTATTAACAAAGACGTAAAGTTTAAATTAAATTGTATTAGTTTGACAGGGTAACTTAATGTGCAAATAATAACAAATGGCACAATTCTATAAATCAACTTTTCAATGGAATTTCGACTTTATACCAAAGCAATAAAGTTTAAATTAAAATGTATAAGACGGTATAGGTTGATTTGCAACCAATGCGATTCCTACTCCAACTATTCTATAAACAACCAAATTTCGACTTTATACAAAAAGGCATAAAGTTTAAAGTGATTTAAAGGGTATCGGCATAGGTTAACATGCAACCAATACTAGACTAATGCGATTCCTACCCCTCGCCCTTTGAGCTTGCAATAAAAACTTGACTGCCGAGCTTCGTTACAAACGGAGGGGGGAGATGGGCAAAGACAGTGTTTTGTGCAGATGTGACATGTTTTTGAAAGGCGTGAAGGTTGGTTTTGTGGTGTTCAATAGATATGTAATTTACATAATGACTGACGCAAGTGCGACTGGTGGGCAAGGAGTCTCGGTTCGATTTCCGGGTCGGGCAAAGTATTACTTAAAGGTTTTATTTTTAAAAATCTCAATAAGTAACAGCACGGAGTCTGGAATTGTGTCCAGTATATCGCAATAGCCTCACCCCCTATTACTCGGGACTCGGGACTCATAACATAAACAGTGAAAAACGAGTGGTTATTCCACTGTACAGAGTGGCATTAAGTGCTGCAATGTGCACCTCTACCCACCCCTTCCGGGATAATAATAGGGGTGAACCTATTGCCAAACCGGGCACGATTTCAGACTCTGTGCTACTACCGAGATTTTTTCAAAATCCAGTATTACTTTGCCCGACCCGGGAATCGAACTCGAGACCCCTTGCTTGGTAGTCGCACTTGCGACTAATCGGCCAACGAGGCAGTCATTTTAAAACTATTACTCTTAAAAATAGGACAAAAAGAAAACTTCACCCCCTTCTCGCACGTTAATACAAATTGCAATTTTTACAAGCAATTGAGAACACCATCACAATAAAAATAAAACCAACAACAAATTGCTTCACTTCACAAGATGTTCGTGCGGCTAGGCTTTAAACCGAGCGCGTCTAAACTACATCAATTAAATAGCTAGTCTGTGGCGCCGCGACGCCGACTTGTCGCAATCAATACCATGTTTACTGCGGGTTGCAGACGTTTGTCCACGAGCCCTACTTTTTACAATTTGAATTTTCGTGTTTTGAAAAAGTAAATAAGACCTCAATTAAGCCTTTGACTGCCAACACAAAACTGTTTGAAGGCAAATCCTCCGCTAACGTAGGTCACCGGTGACCTCCGCGGCGGTTAACGTGTTAAGGTGTAGATTATAAGCAAAGAATAAAAAAATTAATTAATAGACGAAATAATACTGACGATGATGCATTAACATCGCTAAAAATAATTCCAAATGAACTTTAAACTTGTTCAAACTCTGCCATAACGTACTTTCAAAGTCTAACGAATAAATTCTTCAAAGGTACTAATAAAATAAAATGGTGGCGCCACACTATATCGCCGTATATTAATAGAAGTTTTAGTAGCTGAGACAATAAAGCGGTACTCACTTAATAGACCTTTACGAGCTGTAACACTGCACTCTGCCTGGAGTCATGCACGACTCTGGAACAATACAAAATAATACATTAGTTTGTTGATAATATAAAGGAACAATTTTTGGTTGACGTTTTGTCCAGTATCTCAGCTGGTGGTGCCCGATGACGCGTCCTACGATGGAGCACGGTTACATAAGCAAGCAATCTATTCACTCGGACCTTCAAGACGCCCAGGTTTATACCCTTCAAGGAACATAGATTCTGGCAAGTGGTTAAAAATATAAATACATTATTTTATCATACACATGAGGGTTATAGACGTACTTTTCAGCATTGTTTTGCACATTGTCAAAACTATACAGGGTGGAATGTTGTAATGCCACCTGAAGGGGAAGTACTCTTAATACTTGAGATTGATAATTTTATAACAATAATAAAAAAAATACTCAAAGAAAATTCCACCCAGTATAAATAAGAAAAAATCTTGTCCGATCCGTTATTGAGCATAAAAAAACCTTTGATACCTATCCACAAAAACAAATACTAAAATCCGAAAGCAACCAACTCTTGCGCAATAATAAGCGTAGTTCAATTAAATAATCAACTTTCTACTATTAACCAACCGGGATGAATCACACACGTCAGTCACTCGACGCAGGACCTTCACAATTAGCAAAACAATTAGGTAGATACTAGGAAATGTGGACGTTTGTAAGCAAATGTAGTGTTCTTAGGAAATTATTGGCACTTTCTTTGGAACGATGACACATTGGCGAACTAATAAATAAACATTGGGGTTTTAAGAGAAGGACTTAACATTTTTTTGGGATAGATCGGCAAACGAGCTGACGGATCACCTGATGGTAAGCCATCAGCATCGCCCATGGACACCCACTACGGCGTTACAAGTGCGTTACCGGTCAGGGTTAGGGATTTGAGGATTGAAGATTGAATGAGTGGGGACGAAGCTAAAGAAGTAAGTTATTCTGTAAAGAGTTGTAGTGGGCACTCATACCATCAGATATATGATTGTGGTAGAAGCCAAAGAAGTACGTAAGGAGCGTAGTAGGTGGCGCTCTGTAGTTTCTGAATACGGATTATTTTATTCAATCCTGATGCTTTCTATCAATAAAGAGGTTAATTCCATCAGTGGAGCTTTCAACAGATCAGCTTGCCTGCAAATCGTGATGTTAGCGAGACATAATTAAAAACATTCTTTCGACGAATCGCTGAACTCATTTATAGAAAATAACGAGCAGTACTGCTATAAACATGTAGGTAACCTGTTTACTAAATAAATATAGTTTCAACAACAAAATCGTGTTACATTTCCACCATAATTCACCTCATTCCAACTTTGCACTACATGGGATTACAACGGACTCATTATCATCAGTCAGTTTCCATCTACTGCTGAACATAGGTATCTTAGCACAGCATTGAGATTGATCTTCAGCTCTACGCATCCAACCTCTCCTAGCCACACAGAATCATTACTCCAGCTAGCTGAAGGGAGCCCTACAGCAACCTACAATAGAATCATGATCGTCTACAGCTCATGACACTCATAATGGAACTAAAGGTCTCCTCTAAATAAGAGGACTTGCCAAATAATTCCACCAAATCAGATAACCAAACCAATATGCAATGATACAAATAATTCAAAGAAACGCATCTTCAAAGGCCGGATAACAATCGTAGGCGCAGCTGAGCCGACAATGGTCGATTGTTGCCGAACTGTGCCGATCGCGTCACGGCCCGATGGTAGTGACTGAGTGACGTCACACGGCATTTAGAGCAGAACGGATGAGTAAAAAGCTCATAGTGATTATGAGTCATACGAGTTTTTTATTCGCGAACCTTGGAAATGAGTACAAATGAGTTTTGTATGTTGATTCGATACGTTGCTGTATTTACATAGGCTCGCTCTGTGCTTCGCAGGGGACTGACCTCTGCTGGTACTCCATTTATTTGGCTTAACAATACAAGATTACATTTACATCTTTTTTGGAATTCCACATTTTTAACATGTAGTGTATCAGATTGGAACAAAATTTTTGTGGGAGAAAATCATCCAATGACTTCTCCCACCTCGGGCGAGGCGAGAGAGTGTCAGACTCTTACTGACTAAGCACCACCTCATTCCTACTCCTGCATAGAGCCGGAGTCGCGGATAACTTAAAAGGTTTCCGCGACTCCGAAGAAAATCATACAGCCTTCTTCGATATTACCCCTAACCAGATCAGTAACCACATTTTCCTTCATAATACGTTTTGTTTGATTGAATATATTGTCATGTAAGATACATCATCCACGTTTAAACCTGCCTTAAAATACGTCCCGTTCTCTCAGCGTACATTTGTGAATGAAGCATACATTACGCAGTACACTCAATGTCTGTCCAACAGAGCGTTAAACTACTGCTCGCCGTGTATAACGATGATTTATACTCTGTTTTTGATAAAAGTGATGCTTTTACACGTCATCATATTTAATTGTCTGACGGCACGTCTTTAATTATTCTTCGCCTGGGTATCCGTAAGATAAAAAGTAGCCTACGTTCCTCCAGATGTGCCTCCAGACCATATTATAGCCCTGTTTTCAATTACAACCCGAGCCGTTCAGCCATTTTGACGTTCTTGCGTAACAGCATACACAAATATAACATCACTCACGCCTTTTATCCCCGAAGGGGTAGGCAGATGCACATTAAGGCACTGAGTGCCATTGTTTTTTATGGTATAAGAGGGTAACGACGTCGTAGCCGTGGTGTGGTGGTAGCCCGGAGGTTTAAGACGCCCGCTTCTCATGTATGCGGGTTAAAAACCTACCAACGGTAAGTACCTTTGTGACTTTTTCAGAGTTATATGTACTTTTTAAGATTATATAGACACCACTGACAAACGGTGAAGGAAACCTGGACTTATAATTTTTAATTATAAGATTGTAATCGCTAACCCCATTCATAGCTCATCCCAGGACTTCCAAAATCCACATTTCGAACTGCTTTATAACGGCACTATACCAGATCACTACGGAGGCTATAACACGAGGCTAATCCATATAGGGACGACCTTGAAGTATATTAGTTCTATTTCGGGCAGTGTATGGCATGAGTACATTCCGTATGATATGAACTACTCGTTACATTAAATCATCCGTCTAAATTACCGGAAGAAATATAAACTTCATATTTTCGGGGATATAGGAGACGTGGGTGCGATACTTGTAGAAAAAAATATAAGAAAGATGTAATAGGGATGATGACAGGGTATGAAAAATAAAATTTTTTTTTTTCCGTCAGTTAGGAAATTAAAAAATATTAGACAGGTATTTTTTTTTTAGTCAGTAAGAGTGGTGGAGTGGAGAGAAAAAAAGTTTTTAGTCAGTAAGAGTCTGACACTCCCTTCCGCCTCAAAAAAAAACCCCACCCGGGAGCAGTCATTCGATGATTTTACCCCCTCAAAAAAAAGACCGAAGCAATTCATTTTTAAAATACTACACAGTATAAGATGCCACGCACATCAAACAATTCCAATATATCAAATTAAATCCTCGCTGAACAGTTCGGTTGTTAACGCGCTTATCTCCTAAACTGCTGTTTCGAATTTAAAAAATCTGTGTTGGATAGTCCATTTATCAAGGAAGACTATAACTACAAATAACTATCTCACTACGATCAGCGAGAGTACTTAAATTACCAATAAAGTATGAAAATCTTCCGGAGGTTTAAGAAGCCCGCTTCTCATGCATGAGGACTCGTAACCTACCAACGGCAAGTACCAATGTGACCTTTCTGAGAGTATTTAGACACCACTGACAAACGGTGAAGGAAAACATCATGAGGAAAACTTATAATTTCTAATTATATGTTTGAAATCGCCAACCCGCATTGAGCAAGCGAGGTGATTAATACTCAAACCTTCTCCGTGTGAGAAGAGGCTTTGCCCAGCACTTGGCTCTAAGCTGTTGATGATGAACGAAATCTGTTCAACAATTTAGTATATTTTGATGTGCGTGACGTGAATCGCGTCTACCAAAATATCTCGCTGACAGATATATAAAAAACAAAAGAAAGCTGCACTGCATAGCGGTAGAATAATGTTCTGAAAAAACCGGCCGATAAGAACCTGAACGTAATAATTGATAAATATTGTAGGGTGTGCGTCACTTTAGTCAGCCGTTGAACGTTGAATAATTGCTGTTTGCGACCTAGTTAAGGTAGCAGGGAGACGCTGTATGCAGGCCCCTTCTAACGAACCGATGTGGGAGTCATTGGGAGAGGACTGTGAGAGGGCAGTGGACTGAGTGTGCCTGACAGTGGACAGATGACGTATGGTAATGAACTGTAATACACAAACTTACACATTAAAAAAAAAAACGAATCCATTCATCAACATAATTCAGTCTAGGTTATTAAAAAAAAATATATTGCCCCACACTAGGATTTTCTCCTATGTCGTGGGTGCGTTTACAAATATGTATACAAATTCACATACACATCACACCTAAACAACAATTTGTGGATCACACAAAGAGTTGCTCTGTGCGGAAATCGGACCCGCTAGACGTTGTGCGGCAGCTGGTTCTCCAACCATCACACCAATCGTGCAGCTAAGGTTCATTACTGAGTAAAAGCTTTCCCCTCTTTTCACCCTTCTTCACTGACCGACTCAATTTAAGCACAATAAAGTAAATTATACCTACTTTTCTTATAAGGAAAATTAAATAGCAATCCTAGTAGAAGAAACAAACAAAGACATAAATATCGTGTAGGGGGAGCCTCCCCCTTCCCCTACCCTGCGCAGTCATTTAAGGGGCGTAGTGTCTACATATTGGAAGGGTATCGTATATCCTTTGAATTGCTGTGTCACTAAAATAGAGCTATTATTTCAAACTGGAGATCTTTTGGCCCTATTCCAGCTAATTTTGGAATAGTGATAGTTACACCAGATTCGACCAAATGTTTGATATTATAACATGGAACAACGAACATCTGTTTTGTAGAACCCGCTAAGAGTGATACCTACTTTCGTCTTTAGACCCTTCTCCGGATTTTTGTTGACT